TGAGATTACAGGCATGAGCCACTGCACTCTCTGTAGGGGACAGAAAAGGAGCAAGTCATTAGACTTTCCAAATAGTAGAAAAAAGAAAAGATCATGGCAAAAGAGCATTTGGTTATCAGCAGCAGCAATGACTCAGATACAAGCATAACAAAGGAAGGGATGTGTGGTTGAGTCAAGAAAGTAGTGGCTTGTGTGAAAACCAAAGAGGAGTGAATACTGTTCCTTCTGGCCAATGAATGCAGACAGTCAGCGTGCTTGGAGCCTCATGGCATCCTGCTTTCCCCTGGGGCTGCTAGGGGGATTAGGTAAATATAAACGTCTTCAAATAACACAAGATGTAAAAAATAGAAAGCACAGCAAACTGGAATAGTCATCAGATGATATATTTAGGAGAGCTTATTTTGCAAGCTAGAATTACAGAGCAGAGAGATGTGGTCAATTAAGAGTATTTAAGGATGAGTTTCTATGATGGGGGTGGGTGGCAAGATGGAGTTGTGATCCAGGACAAAGAATCAGAAGAGACCACCATTCTCCAAAGACCAGGTGATGATTTTAATAAACTGGCTCATGTGCTATCACCCCAACAGCTAGTTTCTATATCAAAACTAGTTCAAGATTTCAACAAGAGGAAGTGGTTTACAAAAGAATTACCAAGAACCCAGAAGTGTTTAGTGGGGGGAAAAAAAAATGCTACATGAGGTAAAAGTTGATTTGTGTACTATTTAGGCTATCCATCTTTTAAAAGGGGGGTGTCCTACCAGCAGGTAGGACCATTAAAAAAGACACTGCTGCAAAATTCCTACACTCCCAGAGTTCTTCATGGCCTGCGACACACTGTCAAGTCCCTATCTCCTAGACTACAGCCTCATAGTTACCTACTTAGATCGTGCAGGAATTATGCTCATTTTACAGATGGGAAACTGAGGCACAGAGACGTAAAACAATTTTTGAAGGGTCACACAGCTAGTAGGTGACAGAGTTAAGTCCACCCTAGAGACTGCATTTTAAATGAGTCACTTGGTGCAATCACAAAAACAATTATTCTATGATCTGGGTTTTTTTCCCTACTGATTATTGAGATATAAACACTTTGCACGACTTTCTTATTTTAATCCTCACAAAAACACTTTGACATTTGTAATATTGTCCTTTTGGCACCAGCATTTATTAGGCTCTGTAACTTTAACAGCATCACTTAAAGTGAGGTATCTGCTTCAGTTTCCTCCTCTCTTATTTTAATCTTCAGTTATTTTAAGGATTCAACTCATTTATTCATGAAAAGCACTTGGAATAGCACCTGGTACATGGCAGGGTTCTGTTGGTGTAAGCTGTTATCATTACTGCTGACCTGGTCAAAAACCTGAATTGCAGACATTCCCTTATTACCATACTAAGTCACATCAATTTCTTTCTAGTGCTTACAATGTGCTTCAAAACAAATTAATTTGCCAAATATAAAAGAAATATGCCTAAATGAAAATGTATGCCTTTACACTAATGAAATGTAATTGTATCTAGAATGGTGACTGGCACAAATTATTAGGTCATTGACTATTTCATAAGTGTATTAACACTTATAAAATAAGTGTTTTTTGGGCAGCCAAATAAAGGAATAAATGATCAAAAGTTCAAACAAGAAAGTGAATAACTAGTGGCTGGGCGCGGTGGCTCACAACTGTAATCCTAGCACTTTGGGAGGCCGAGGCAGGTGGACTGCCTAAGCTCAGGAGTTCAAGACTAGCCTGGGCAACATGGTGAAACCCCATCTCTACTAAAATACAAAAAATTAGCTGGGCATGGCGTCATGTGCCTGTAATCCCAGCTACTCGGGGGGTTGAGGCAGGAGAATTGCTTGAACCAGAGAGACAGATGTTGCAGTGAGCAGAGATAGCGCCACTGCACTCCAGCCTGGGCAACAGAGTGAGACTCCATCTCCAAAAAAAAAAGAATATGTAGCAAACAAAATTATGAAACTTAAATTAATCTGCAGAACCTGGGAATAAATAAATCAAAAAGGAATAAAATGGAAAGCAACATTTTTTTTTATTTTCTAAGAATTGTTTTTCAATATTTCACTTAATTCACTGTAAACCATGTATCTATTAAATGCAATTAACATTTTCAAAAGTAAGCAGTATGAAGTCACATAAAAAGCTAATAAAATCAACATCCAATTATAAGAGAACCTCACTGAAATCTTATTCAAAATTGAGGAAGGAAGTCTATAGTCACGTTTTTATTTCATCCTTAATTTCCCACGCTTTTCAAAGAGCTGTATTATAACTCTTTCTCAAATATTTGCGAGGAAGTATTTTGATTGTGAAAATAGATGCTCTGAGAATACCTAAGCTAAATAAATATTTACATTCTGCCTTTTTAGTTGAACAATTGACTTTGTTCTTCAGCATTCAGGTCAAAATACTTAAATGTTTTAAAACATCAATAACAAAAGGATATGATTTTTCACCAGATAGTCTAAACTTACAGGTTTTAGCAAAACCTTCACAAGAAGGAATTGAGTAATTTAGAAATGTTAATGTACACACACCGTAAAAATAAAAAAGGGGGGATGTTGGCCACTTATTCTTTTTAACTCAAAAAAAATCTCTCTTCCTCTTCCTTGTGTTTATGTAGTTAAGCCTTGGTGAGCATTTACATCCACTTACATCATTATAATGATAACCTCAATTTGCTGACTTTATGTAGGATTTATATCAAAGGAGTCTTGGAGTTTAGTATGCCTTAGTTCATTTTCAGAGCATCCTTGTACATCACCATGTGACTAGTATCTTATCTGTATCATACAAAATTAAAACCAGATGTACTAGGAGACAAAGCTGCTTTTTCAAAGGAGATAAAGTCACATAATTATCAACTTAATGAAACTTGGCTTCAAACTCATATCTTCTCTTAATACAGCCAAGTTTTTCCCCACTAGATTATTCTTCCTTTACATAAATTTATGAAGTCACGGTGGCAGCTGAGCAGAAAGAACTGACTACCTGGAAAAACTCCAAGGTTTTTTTGAGGTTGGGCTAACCTGACCCAGCAGAAGCTCTGAGACTTGGAAGAAAGGGAAGCAAGGCTATAAGAACTATTCATGTTTTTTGACAGTGAGTAACACGTAAATTACTGATAACAGGTCAGCAAAATGAAAGTGTAAAAAAAGGTGAGAAACGTCAGTGTTTCATAATAAACTTTCATCATGGGCTTCACCGGAAATTCTTGTTAACCCTGAGCTGTATATCCAAGCCTTGGAGCAAACCCTCCTTCCATTTGAACTCTCCTTTGAGTTGTAGGAACTGCTCCTGTGGGTGCTAGAAACCAAGGTTCTCCTGAAGTTGACTTAGAGCAGGTGGCTTTGTGTGAGGAGACTGCAGAGGTGTGTCAGGTGTGTCCAGTTGCACTGAATTGTTCACATTTTTGACACTGGAATTTTGCACATTCTTTGGAAATAAGCTGTTCATTTGGATTCCCATAGTCACCTCTCTCAAGCCTGACTTGAGCTGCCAAGACTCAGTCACCTTCTCTCCTCAGTGGGTCATATTACTGTTGGCAGGTTCCACCTGTTTTAATATTTGCTTGATAACAAAAGTGATCCTTGAGAGTTGAGTGACAGGGGCTGCTGAGCAGGCTTCCAAACCAATTGTGGGAGAGATCAAGATAACCAGTCACCTACAAGAGGAATTATGAAGACAACTAAGCCAAAAAGAGAGTGTTCTAATAGACACATTTGTCCCAAGATCTTTCTTGGGATTAACCAGTGTTGGGCAAGGTATCAGTTTAAACAGAAGTAGGAGAGGAAGTAAGCTTAAATTGCAGCAGAAAGAATGCTGGTCTGATAGACTGGAGAACTTCAGAACATGTTGGAGGAAAAAAAGTAGATCTCTACATAGATCTCTAAAGTAGACACCTGGAAATAATATCCGTCATGAGCCTGTTCAATACTAAAATTCTCTGGGAGGAAACAGGCTTCAGCCAAATGAAGCACCTTTAAGAGACAATCCAACCCTTAGGTTCTTTCATCCCTGCCCTCCACGACACCCTGCTAACAATTGTTTTGCAAATAAATTGCTATATTCCTGAATATAATGCCAGAAACCAATTTCTTCCAGCACAGCTTTTCACCCTACTTAGCTTCTCAAAAGCATCACCCCTTTCCTACCCATCCCATCAGTGGATGAAGTGATAGTCCCACTTAATAATGATTTAAGCAGTGGGCAAAGTTCTCAGTTATGCTCTATCTTAACCTTGCAAATCCAATAAAGGGTTGTCAGCTCTTATAGAAGCAGGAAACCATGTCAGGGTGTGGTAGAGAGAGCAAGTAGTTAAAGAGAAGCTCAAAGCCAGGCAGGATGGTGTGCACCTGTAGTCCCCAGCTACTGGGAGGCAGTGGAGGGAGAATGGCTTGAGCCCAGGAGTTCCAAGTTGTAGTGCACTATGATCACGCCACTGCATCTGCATTCCAGCCTGGGTGACGGAATGAAACTGTCTCTAAAAGAAAAAAAAGAAGAAGCTCAAAGGACCTGGGCTTTCATTTCATCCTTGCCACTTGCCATTTGTGTGGCTTTGTGTTAGTAACTCGACAGCCCTCTACCTGCTTTCTCCCTCATCAAAGCCTGCTAATGTCAGAATGTGGCACTTGGCAGATTGTCCTTCTTCCTCCTACACCTGGAAGGCATCAATAATCAACATTTCCATGAGTCACTCAAGTTAAAGGTTTCATGTCATTCCCAATGACATTTTTATTTCTAGAATATGTATATTCTGATCATTGTGAGCCCAGGAAAAATCCAAGAGATGGTCAAGGCCATCAAGTTCAACACTCAATTTGCTTAAAGTCAACCCTTTATAAGTCAGCTGACATAATGTTAATAATATTCATATATATGTGTGTGTTTATGTTATTAACACTATGTCAGCTGACTTATAAAGGATGGACTTTAAACAAATGTATCTATGTATATCTGTATATGTATAAACATGTGTATATATATGTATATACACACATGCATATATATAGACGTGTGTGTGTGTGTGTATGTATATATCTGAAATCTAGCCTCTCGCAAAATAATTCACTTTAAGGGACAAGAGTAATTTTGTGATTGAAAATTATTTCATTGTAGGAATCAGCAGCAAAATCAGTTAAAATGTAGACTTGGGGTAATTGTGTAGCATGTCAGTCTATGTCTGAATAATCTGCTATTTTCTTGATACTTTTCTTCAACTGCAATAAGCACTGATATTTATATGATGTTAAAATACCTGTATTTAAACCAGAACATTAAATGCCATCCCAATTCAGCATTTCTCTAGTTGAGGAAGAGGAAGTTGAAGGAAGAGGAGGCTGAGTTTTCATTAGATGATATTTGTGGTCTTTTTTATGATCATTGTGCTTAATCACATTATTACTACATTGTTACTAAATTTTTATCTTCTATAAAACTTTGAGATCATGAAACAGCCAGGAAGGATGCAGGGATTGCTATATCTTCATCAGCAAATGGGAGGAATGGCACTGGAAAATGCAAGAGTTTATCATAAATCACAAATATAGGTTTCTGAGATAAAAAGAGAGAACAGAATTCCTGATCCCAAGCATGAAATCGCTCTCTTTTACTGTAACACATGTTCAAAGCGATCTAGTCTAGTGGCCTTTTCTCCATGCCTCACAAGAATCAGGCATTGGAGAAATTACGTTGTTCTTCAACCCCCTTATGTTTCACAGGTAACACTCTGAAACCCACAGAATGTATGTGACTTGCCCAAGATCATGTGTTAGTAAGAGAGAATGAACTAGGACCTAGGTCTCCTTCCTACCTCCTCAACATGGCCCTTTCTCAGACACTACACTGCTCAGTTCCACATTCCATCATAGAGCAACTGGACTGGACTGGCCCATTTACTCAGCAAAAATGTACTGAGAACACACCTAACATGCTAAGTCCTGGATATAAGACAAAAAATGTAAGATTCCATCCTCCCCCTTCCCAAAGGAAGAAAAAACCCAACAAAATAGTCAAAATAAACAGGTAAATAGGTGAGGACAAGACTTAGCACAGGCTTTAAGATTGGACAGACCTGGACACATAGCCTGACTCTATGCTTTACTAACGGTGTGACCTTGAGCTTCTGTGTTCTCTTGTATAAAATTGTGAAAATTTTTCAGAGGTGGTTTGTGAGGATTAAATGTGATAGTATTTATTTTCTTAAAATAGCATAGTATCTGGATATACTATTACTATACTGCTATTACTCTAGTAAGGGGCTCAGCAATGGTGGTAATTACCACTACTACTGGTTGACATGAGGCTGACAGAGGGAGGAGTACTTGTGGTCCCTTTTCTTCATTCTCCCATCAGATAGCCTAAGTCCTCATCTTCCTGCCATCTGTACCACACAAATGGGGAGAGTTATTGGTAAGTTACAAGGGGCCCCGAAATGCCTCACTTAATGGGTTCTGCCTGCAGCAGGACTTAGTATAATCTCTTTCTCTGTCAATTTCTCAGGCTGACTTTCTCAGTAAACCACCACTATTTAATTCTTCAGAGTCAATGAGTCATCCACCAGTCCAAACTTGTGCACATTCCTGCAAGATATAATTTGGAACCTTTGCCTAATAAGTTTTTATTAATAGTAAGATGATCAGACTAAGATGAAAATTGCTACACTAAAAAACAAAAAAGTATATTGAGAGCTTTCCCAGATATGCCCTTTATCCATTGTCTTTATAATTCATTTAACTTATAACAACATAGGGCATTACATAAAAAAGCAACATGGTATCCCTGTCCTCACAAGCTCTCCTGGAGGAGGCAGAAGAAATACTGGTAAACACCAAGTAGTGAACATGGAAACACGAAGGCAGTTAGGGCTATATAAAGAGAGGCACGTCAGTATTCAGGAGGGAGAACATCTATAAGAAAAAAGAGTTAGCAGAATGTCGATCAGAAATGAAGCAGGACAGCACCTGTTTGGAAAGACTTCAAGGGAAGAGTTCTGAAGGGCAGTGGGTGATGAACAGAGAGGTGGCTTCAGGTTTGAAAAGAAACAACAAAGCAGGGATGTCAGGAGATAACAGGGAAAGTAACCCTCTCAGAGCAGACAGCAAAGGTGAGGGGATTTGCGAATTCCTCCAGCACACTGCAGGACTCACACAGTCAAAGCTAACTAAACAAGAGTTAAATAAATCTGATTTATTAAAGCAGATGTGAATTATATTGCACTCTCCTCCCATTACTTGTTTATCTGTATTAATCAGGTAATGAGTCAGCTTTCTGCTCATGGTTATCACAAATGGGAATGAGAATGTCCTAAAGTCAAACCCCAACATATAACTTCAAAGGTCCAGAAGTGAATTACTGGCCTCATAGAGATCTCTGAAAGGTTAGAGACATCTAGGAATAATGACAGGAATTTTTAAAAATTATTAAAAATTATAAGAAGAGGATCTAGAAAATTACAGAAATACTTATTTTTTTTAAATTCTAAATGTTTTACCATGTCTTGCCACATATGATGGCAAGTTTTTAATAACTAGAAAGTTTATATTTTTGCTTTTTGTACAACGTTTAATACAACAGCACCATGTTGTCAATGGATACTTTTATAAACATTTGTTGACTAACTTGGCTGTGCTTCTTACTACAGTCATGAGACTCACACATCAAGAAACCTTGATTCGCTCCTCTACAAAGTTACTGCAGGCCACATGGGTGAAATTTATATAGGAAAATGATAATTCTCATTCAGCAAGCTTGTTTGATGTGACAGGAACTATTCTAGTGCTTTACTTATCATTTCCAATCCTTGATGATTAATGAATATCACTCTATGATAAAGCAGATGTCATTACAGATGAGAAAACAAGGGCTTAGAGAAGAGAATCAACTTCTTCAAGGCACACAATTAATATGTCACTGAGAGGAAACTACAGTCCAGCTCAACCTAATGTGAAAGAGAGAAGAAGGAAAGAAAGAAAAGAAGAGAGAGAGAGAGAGAGAGAGAAGAAAGAAAGAAAGAAAGAAAGAAAGAAAGAAAGAAAGAAAGAAAGAAAGAAAGAAAGAAAGAAAGAAAGAAAGGGAGAGAGAAAGAAAGAAGAAAGAGAGAAAGAGAGAGAGAAAGTGAGAGAGAGAAAGAAAGAGAGAGAGAGAAAAAGAAAGAAAGAATGAAAGAAAGAAAGAAAGAAGGAAAGAAAGGAAGGAAAGGAAGGAAGGAAGGAAGGAAAAAGAAAAGAAAAAGGCAAGGAGGGAGGGAAAAGAGAACTATACCTCAAATTTTGAAAGAGACAAACAGAGAAAGATAGATAGATCTAGAAAAAGGGAGGAAAAAATCATAAAAACAACTCACCCTTCTTAAACAAGGCACAGCTGGAGGATTCAAATCAATTATATTTCCCAACCCAGAAAATGTTTAGTAAACCACAGATTTTTTAGGGCTCCAACATTATTCCACAGCACCTCTTTCCAAACACCCTTTTTCTTCTATTACTATATATTACTGGATATTTTTAGAAAATATTGGTAACTCATCAATGAATCTCTCCCTTCTTTCCCAGCAAGGAAGGGAGGGAAAGAGGAAGGAAGGGAAGGAGGGAGGGAGGGAAGGAGGGAAGGGAGGGAGGGAGGGAGGGGCTATCTTTGTAGACCTCTACCATAGTTTTTCAAATGAAAAATTAAATATCCAGGAAATAATTCCCAATAGTCACCACACAAGATTGAAACCAGACTCTGAAGCCAACTAAGAGCCCTTTTTCTCCATTTACCAAAAAACAGTGATCACTGAGTCAGATATCTTCAGGTTACCTACACACCTGTAGCCATGTGCCAGGAGTACTGCTACAGAGATAAAATCAACCAGTTTGGAAATAATTGCAGCATAAGGTCTCACTTTATTGTCACTGATAGAAGAAATCTTAACAGTCCACAAAATCTCATAGGAACAATCCACAATGCCTCTTGAACTTAGAAAGGTAGATGTTGTACGGAGCATCCCATCCTCTCCCTGCCCATCCTCCAGCTTGGCTCACTTCCAGTGGGAAGTGACTGTGTCTGGAAAGGAACTGGCCAAGTTTGACAGCAGCCTCAACTCCCACAGCACACTGGCTCTGTATTCTTCAGGATGGTGCCCTGGCTGGGCCACAGGAATAACATCAGCCTCTACAGAAGCAGTGGGGAAAGGCCAGTTGCACTGACATTGTTGTTTCTGGACTGGTTAGCATGTCAAGAAACATGAGGCCATGCAAGGACTGAAAGAGGCTCTTGTTGAAACACAGCTGCCTCTTTTCTGTCCCCACATTACTTCAAGGGGGAAGTGCACTGCTCCTGTGCCCCACTCATCTTCTTTTCTGAACCTCCAAGAGATGACAACTACAACTTTGAGAATCTACTGTGACAGCAATGCCATGCAGATGATATTTTCAGCTGAATTGGACACTCAGAGCAATGCCCAAGGAGCTGGTTAAGTAAGAAAGCCCATGTGAAGAGGCTAGGTAAGGTATGAAGCACTACGGAAATGTGCCTTTATGATATAAGCAGAAATAGGAGACTGATCAGGAGACACAGCTCAGCCTAGACAAAACCAAAGCAATGTTCATCACAATAGAAGGAAAGCAATCAAAATTCCAGAAGAAAGCCGGGTAGGGGTGGGGTCGGGGGAGAGGGCGGGGGTGGACTTTAAAACATCTTACCCTTCTTAAAGAAGCCACAGCTGTGGAATTCAGATCAATTCTATTTTCTAACCCAGAAGATGTTTAGCAGATCACGGATTTATTTGGGGCGCCAGTATTATTCCACGGCCCCTCTTTCCAAACACCCTTCTTCTATTACTAAATGGCTAGGTTTCTTTTAGAAAATACTGATAACTTGTCACTGAATCTCTCCTTTCTCTCCCAGCTTGAATCTCCAGGGGAAAAAAATAACAAAAGAATAAAAAATAAAAGAAAGAACAGTGTTTAAAAAAAAAAAAAGTGGGGACAGAGGACCTGAAGTGTCTTAGATCTGAGATCTGACTTCCTCTTGCGGGAATGTTTTCTTTATAAACTGCCTTTATGAACACCTGCTTAGTGGTTTCAAGATCCTGCAGCCTTTCACTGTGGCACATGCCGACTTTCATATGCCACAAGTTTCCCCTTTCCATCCCACTCACAATGCCTGGGTTCAATCCCTTGTCACCTTTTGCCTCACTGAGAGAGCGAACCCTCCACTGCCCTACCTCCAGGCTCGGTCTCTCCAAGCCACCCTCTACTCTGCCACCAAGTAGCATCCTAAACTTTAAATCCCTTCATGTTCTCCTTTGTAAAATTCTTCATTATCTATTCATTGCCTATAGCAGTGGTTCTTAATGGTTTCTTGGAGATCTGATTACAGCTTTGGTCGCTATTTTTTATCCCTTGAAAACAAATCACCCATAAGCAATAAATCCTGAGTTAAGAACCCTTGGCCTAGAGCAGAGGTCTCCAAAGGGGTAAGCACCAGATGATACATATGGTACAGAAAAACAATATTAGCATTCCGATTTTTCCATATTCCTACTCTTTAGCAAAACTAAAAAAAAAGTAATTAGAAAGTAATTGAAATGTATGCATGTTGAGTGTATGGAATGATACTGATGCCCTCACCTAACCCAGCTGAGTTTCCTGAAGGAAGAACTCTTACAGGGTCCCACAAGTGAGAGGTGATGGGGGGAATCCACATTCATTTCTTCACTCTCAGAATATTGGAACGGATTGCATTCTACATGCTAGAGGATGTTATCAATAGTTAATTTGATAAAATTAAGCCCTTTATATATAAAGAAGTTTCTTGGCAAGTCTTCTAAGTTCGATGAAAAAGTTTATCGAACTTAAAAGACTTGCCAAGAACTTACTTTATGAAGGGCTTAATTTTATCAAATTAACTGTCCTTCCTAGTTGGTTAGTTATTTTGTATCCAAATACTTAACAGTTATCCAACTAAAAGTGGACTTGCACATTTTTCTTTTACAAAAGACAAGGCTCCCAAGTTGTCTAACCTTTCCTGTGATGACTAGTGGCTACCAGGATTATGCAGATATTTTCAGAAAAACAGATATGCTTAGTATGTCTTTTCAAGGTAAAGATAACATTTTAATAGTGAATAAGAAAGTAATTGCTTTTCTAAATTAATTTGTTGCTTTGAAAACGGGTGTGGTAGCAGCTTCTGAGGTTGCCCCTGCTGGTCTTCTCTTCCTGGTATCTATATCCTTGTGTAACCCCTCCCCTAGAATATGGACTGGACTTAGTAACTCTAATAAATAGGATTATGGAAAAAGTTACTTCGGAAATTATGTTACAGAAAGGCTGAGACTTACATCTTATTCACCCTCTCTCACTCTCTATGGAGAAGCCCATGGCAAGGAACTACCACCTCTAGCCAACAGCTGACGAGGACCTGAGGCATGTCAACAGGCACGTGAGGGAACTTGGAAGCAGAGCCTCAGTCAATTTCGCCTTGAGCTGACTGGAAGCCCGGCCAACCCCTCAGCCACAGTTTTGTGGGAGATTCTGACCCAAAATAATGCAGCTAAGCCACTCCTGGGATCTGTGACCCACAGAAACTATGAGATAAGAAATGTCTGTTGTTTTACAATACTAATTGTGGGGATGATTTGTTATGCAGCAAGAGATAACTCATACAATTGGGGGAATGTTTCCTCATCATTGATTTAATGGCTAAAAGTAATGTGACTGTGTCTAATTAAAAAACAAAAAGATACCTTTCCTATCTGACCATTAAAAAAAGATTAGAAACAGATTTTTCTTTCTTTCTTTCTTTTCTTTTCTTTCTTTTTTTTTTTTTTTTGCCTCCCTTCCTAGTTCATTATGAACAAACTATCAACAAAAACCATCCTGCTCAGCCAGTTTCTCAGAGCAACCGTGGGAGTCAAAGCAGGTAAAGTGGACTTCTTAATTTGCAAACTTTTAAGGGTTGTATTATTTATTACTTAGTTTTTTTTCTCAGGGGAGGCCTTAGGTAGAAATTACCTTGATATAGAATGAAAAATGTTTGCCTGGAAAATGTGTAGGATGAAGAGAATAGAAACCAGTAATTAAAATATCAATTGGTATGTACTATAATCATTTCAATAATGCAAGTAAGCTGTTGGTAAATATACTATGATTTTCCTTTCAGTAATTTTACTGGATACTAAGTATTAACACCAGGTAACAACATTAGGGAAGATTACAAGTATAGGAGTGAGGTTTTGGTGTTTTGTCCCTTCCTGTTTCTTATTGTCTGTTAACTTACACATGTTGTTGAGTGACTGCCCTTCAGAGATGGGGTCCTACTATGTTGCCCAGGCTGGTTTCGAACTCCTGGGTTCAAGTGATCCTCCTGCCTTGGCCTCCCAAAATGCTGGGATTACAGGCATGAGCCACCACACCTGACTATTTTAAAATATTTTATTGAAAAACTCTTGGTGTTTATTCTTTCCCTTGCAAGCATTCTTTACTAACTCTTTTTCTGGTATCTTCTATAATTCTGCTTTTAAGGTTTTTTTTCTTTATTTTTTATTATTATACTTTAAGTTCTAGGGTACATGTGCACAATGTGCAGGTTTGTTACATATGTATCCATGTGCCATGTTGGTGTGCTGCACCCATTAACTCATCATTTACATTAAGTATATCTCCTAATGGTATCCCTTCCCCCTCCCCCCTTCCTCCACCCCATGACAGGCCCCAGTGTGTGATGTTCCCCATCCTGTGTCCAAGTGTTCTCATTTTTCAGTAACCACCTATGAGTGAGAACAGGCAGTGCTTGGTTTTCTGTCCTTGTGATAGTTTGCTCAGAATGATGGTTTCCAGCTTCATCCATGTCCCTACAAAGGACATAAACTCATCCTTTTTTATGGCCGCATAGTATTCCATGGTGTATATGTGCCACATTTTCTTAATCCAGTCTGTCATTGATGGACATTTGGGTTGGTTCCAAGTCTTTGCTATTGTGAATAGTGCCACAATAAACATACATGTGCATATATCTTTATAGCAGCATGATTTATAATCCTTTGGGTATATATCCAGTAATGAGATGGCTGGGTCAAATGGTATTTCTAGTTCTCGATCCTTGAGGAATTGCCACACCGTCTTCCACAATGGTTGAACTAGTTTACAATCCCACCAACAGTGAAAAAGTGTTCCTGTTTCTCCACATCCTCTCCAGCACCTGTTGTTTCCTGACTTTTTAATGATCGCCATTCTAACTGGTGTGAGATGGTATCGCATTGTGGTTTTGATTTGCATTTCTCTGATGGCCAGTGATGATGAGCATTTTTTCATGTGTCTGTTGGCTGCATAAATGTCTTCTTTTGAGAAGTGTCTGTTCATATCCTTTGCCCACTTTTTGGTGGGGTTGTTTGATTTTTTTTGGTAAATTTGTTTAAGTTCTATGTAGATTCTGGATATTAGCGCTTTGTCAGATGAGTAGATTGCAAAAATTTTCTCCCATTCTGTAGGCTGCCTGTTCACTCTGAAGGTAGTTTCTTTTGCTGTGCAGAAGCTCTTTAGTTTAATTAGATCCCATTTGTCTATTTTGGCTTTCGTTGGCATTGTTTTTGGTATTTTGGACATGAAGTCTTTGCCCATGCCTAGGTTCTGAATGGTATTGCCTAGGTTTTCTTCTAGGGTTTTTATGGTTTTAGGTCTAATATTTAAGTCTTTAATCCATCTGGAATTAATTTTCATATAAGGTGTAAGGAAGGGATCCCATTTCAGCTTTCTACATATGGCTAACTAGTTTTCCCAGTACCATTTATTAAATAGGGAATCCTTTCCCCATTTCTTGTTTTTGTCAGGTTTGTCAAGATCAGATGGTTGTAGATGTGTGGTATTATTTCTAAGGGCTCTGTAGAAACAGAATTTTCTATCCCGTGTCTAAATAATCCAGATGAAGAGTATGAATTTCAACCAACTACTAAAAATACTAAAATGCAACACCTTCCAAAGAGTTTACAAGAATGACTAAATGATATCAGGAAAAACAAAAAGTTATTGATTACATTTCAAGAAAACCTAAGTACAGTGTTTAAGACTTAAAAAAACCTGCAAAAACTGCATTATGACTTAGTCCTGCCAATAAATACTCCTTCAATCAGAACTGTATTTCTTTGTGAAGTGTCTTGATTTAACTAAAACTAGAAATCGAAATAAACTGAACTTAGAACCAGTCCTTTAAATTACCCCATTACAAAGTGTTAAATCAAAATTTTCAAAAACGTATCTGCATTTTCATACACATTGGTCATTCTAATGTTTAAGAAAATTTTATAGGTGCAAAAACTAACATGTATCTTTAAATATTTCCTATTTAATCACATCTGTGTGTATTTCTGAAGGGATATAAGAAACTAATCTGATAGTCCATATATATAAATAAATATATCCAAATAAACACATATTTGAAGAGTATATGCTCAAGTTATTTTTACTGGTAGGTGTACGCAATTAAAAGAGTTTATGTAGCCCTGACCTCAAAGACAATTCCAAATGCTTTCGCTCAGTTTGCACAACCTATCTTTTTAGTCAGGCTCTTAGAGCCACTTGCAATTCTCAGGACACCGTTGACTGAGCTTAGAAGTCGATCCTGCCGCAGAAGTCCCTTTCTACACCACCACTCCTATACTCACCCCCAAGTCCATGGAAGAATTCCGCCTCATATTTCAATGCCTAGCTTACTTGTCAAACAATTCATGACATTTCCTCCCTCTTTCCCCTCCTTTCACCTCTTAATGCTCTCTAAGTTCCCTTTTAACCCTTTTATTACAGAACTTACCATCCTATGCTATATTTTAAGGATTTGTTTCTGTTCCATTTACTCTTAACAAACCGAGGGCTTTCTACATAATTTGCTTAGTAGCAGGTGGTATGCTGAAAATGCTGTTGAATACATGAATAAATGGATGAACTAATTTTTTCAGAACTTTTTCCTGTGGTTCAAAGTATAACAAGTTGGAAAGGGAATCTCCTATCATTTTATTCTACTCAGATACCTGTATATCTCACCACCAACATTTAACTTAATAAATATTTTTCCAAAAAAATTTAAAAATTAATTTCAGCATTTCTGAGCAGATTTCTTTCAACCGTGTAAGCAGCATTATTCTATGGTAAGGAGCCAGACTGTGTCAGGTTAAATCCACCTTTGGCACCTGTTAACTCTGTAATCTTGGACACATTAAATATCCTCATTGCATCTCCATTTCCTCATCTGGTAAAATGGGGAAAATAAGATACGGCACAGACCTTATCTTATTAAAGGTCCATAAATGTTGCTTGTTATCCTGTTGACCTTTTGCAGAGGTATTAAATAAACATTAAGTATATTTAATACTCCCAGATTAAGCCTCCCTGGACCTCCAGTGAATGCACACAGCACACACAGAGATAAGCATGTTAAGGACAGGAGCTCTGTCTACTTTTATTTTCATTGTAGCCCCGGTACCTGGCACATAGTAGGTGCACAATTACTGTTTGTTGATTGATTTCAGAATTCCCCATACATTTCTGCCTTATACAGATTTGAATCCGCATTGTAGTTTCAGACCATCCTTTCCAAAAGCATTCTCAGGATGACTATTGTCAGAATCAGGATGTGGAAAAACAGTTAATGTGACTATGTTGCAGGAAAACCTGAGAAGAAGACCTGAGAGGAGACCAACATTCTATCAGTAAAATAATGGGAAATGATTCATAAATGCAGTATTTATACACAAGTACAAAATGTTCTAGTACTTCAGAAAGTAAAGAAGGTTCATTTAAAAACAAACAACAACCTTGGCAGACTCTAACACAGAATAAAAACTTTTAAAAATTAAACCAATTCTATTGTCTGAATTCTTTTGATTGTCAGCAGACTAGAACAAGATTAACTAGTATAAGAAACAAATTGTGTGGGGTCACATAAGTGCCAAATTTAGAAGACTGTCTCGCCAACTTAATTCAGGTGAGCCCGTCCATCTCTGTACCCCTTTCTCCATACATCTGTTCATCCCTCTGACTCCAGCCTCTCTCTAGATTTTTAGTTTTTTATCTCTTACTAGAGGCAAGTTTCCTCCCTTCGGCAGTGGAAAAAAACAGGGAGGCAAGGCTGCCAATGACTGCAGGCAAACAGCATCCCAGCTCACTGGCCAGAGGTGAAAGGTTTCCTTTCCTCTTAGCTGCATATAGGGTGGGAAGGGATGCTGGGGAGACCGGACAACGTCCATTCACCACACCCAAAAAGGAAAACACGCTCAGAATGCTACTACCACACACAAACTACATCCCATCTTCACACTTCCTTCCAACATTAATGAATACCTTGTAATTACTATCCTGGTACATATTTTTTCTTTTGGCTTTTTGTCTTAAGCCTTTTACCTGTTCCTCCAAAGGCTTTATAATGACCAGATTTAAGTGTCTAAAAGTCATTATGCAATAATTCACCTATCATTTCCTTAATGATTAAAATTTATGTAATTTCCAGATATAGCTACATTTAAAAGATATTATAATTATACTCCTCTAACCTGAAACATGTTTCTTTAAAAAAGTATCTCCTTAAGATAATTCTCAGAAATGGAAATAATGGGTGCAATGTTAAGAACATTTATATAGATCTGGTTCTTCGGATACATTATCAAATTTTTATTCAAAAAGTTGTATTAAATTTCAGTGTCTCCACAATACATACATGCTGCAGCATCACCGTGTCTTCATCAGCAGTGAGAATCATACGCAGATAAACGTTTCTTAAGTCATGGTTCCTAAACATTCTCACTAGCTCAGAATGCCGTCATTAATCCTACTACATTTACGGCCTGACTTCCTCACCTGGGAAGACACAGGAAATTGCCAAGCATAGTTTTAGCACACAGTAGGCACTCACTAAAAGTTAGGTAAAACTGCAAC